TCGGTCCTTCTACTCCTTTTTTTTTTGCCTTTTTTATGTACGTCTCTGCGTGTGCGTGTGTGTGTGCTGCTGTGCCTCCAGCGTAGTTCATGTGCCCGGGGGCCGATGGATGATCTCATCCGTTTCGAGGCGGAGTGCAGGAGACACATAGTTGTGGTTGAAAAAGGCACAGCTCAGTCTCATCTGTTTTCCTTTCTTCGACTGGCGGGAGATCTCATGGGGGAGGCCAAGCGGAGCCACTACCTGAACGCATTGCACATCTTGTGGCAGCTCTTTCCGCTCCTGCGTTTGTACGCAGGCTTCCTTGAACGCAAAAAGGCAACGCTGGTGGAGTCTGCTAGTGCGCTGTGCAGCGAGCGGGAGACAAGGGCCGTGAAGAGCGACGCCGTGGATTCGCCCCCGGCACAGTGGATGGCTCTCTCTGCAGAGAAGGCAAACATGCTGTCGAATCTGCGGGACCCATGCAAGACACTTTACCAAGAGTATGCCTTGGTTCGTCTCCAGCTGCTTGCCACGTTTAGCTTGGAGCTTGCCCGGGTGCAGAAGGAGTTGATTTTTGCCATACACGCCGAGAGGTTTGGAGAAAGTGGGCACCCATTTGCCTCCCTTTCCACGCGCGCCGCCACACCGGGGCTGGGCTGGGCTCCAGAGCACAGTTATGGTCTGGTCGTTAGCGATGGTTGCTTGGTGCGGCGTGGCGGGCACAGGGTGAAGGAGCGCTACTATCAAGTGCGCGTCATCCAGTCCCTGCCCCCTGCCCTTCCTCGCGTCGTTGCCGGCGACGTTATCCTCGCTATTAATGGGCGCTCCGTCGCCACACTCGAGGGTGCCCGGTTGGAGTTGCGGGGACGCCCCAAGACCCTGCAGCTTCTTCTTTTACGCGAGCAAAGAGCTGTTTCAGCTATCGTCACCCTCTAGCCTGGTCCTTGCTGTCCCGCCGTGGCTGCTTCTGTGACTGTTGCTGCTTGTTTCTGAGGAAAACGTGCGCACACAACGGACCCGCGGACAGTCCTTGCAAACGTTATCCATGACTACAGCGATTGCCATTTTAAACTACTTTCTTTCTTTCTTTCTGTCTTTCTCTCTTTGTTTACCTTGCCTTATTCTTTTTTTTTTTTATGGGGTGGGGGTAGCAGTAGTCCCTTTTCGCTTGTTTCTTGTCTCTTGTCTCTCCACAGTCTACTGACAGAATGTCGGTTCGCCAGATTCTCTTCTCCTCCGAGCACGTGAGTGAGGGCCATCCTGACAAGCTGTGTGACCAAGTTTCAGACGCTGTGCTGGATGCCTGCCTTACATTGGATCCTCTCTCTAAGGTGGCGTGTGAGACGTGCTCCAAGACGGGCATGGTGATGATTTTTGGTGAGATTACCACTAATGCGGTGCTCGACTACCAGTCTGTCGTCCGCGATGCGGTGAAGGACATCGGGTTCGACGACGGCGAGAAGGGGTTGGACTACCGCTCGTGCAACCTGCTGATTGCCATTGAGCATCAGTCTCCCGAGATCTTTCAGGGTCTTGGCGACTTTGACGGCGAGGAACTCGGGGCGGGTGACCAGGGCATGATGTTCGGCTACGCGACCGACGAGACGGAGACACTGATGCCGCTCACCTACGAGCTGTCGCGTGGACTTGCTATGAAGTATAGTGAACTTCGCCGCAATGGGACTCTGCCGTGGGCTCGTCCAGACGCTAAGACGCAGGTCACCGTACAATATGAATACGACACGCGTGGCGGCAGGCAACTTCTAACGCCCAAGCGGGTAGCTGTTGTTCTGATTTCCGCCCAGCACGATGCCGAGGTGACAAATGAGACCCTCCGCAAGGACCTCATGGAGAAGGTTATCAAGGCGGTGGTCCCCGCCAACATGCTTGATGCCGACACAACGTACCACCTGAATCCCTCCGGCAGCTTTGTGATTGGTGGCCCCCACGGCGATGCTGGTCTCACCGGCCGCAAGATCATTGTTGACACCTACGGCGGCTGGGGCGCCCACGGCGGCGGCGCCTTCTCCGGCAAGGACCCCTCAAAGGTGGACCGTTCGGCCGCCTACGCCGCCCGCTGGATTGCCAAGTCGCTTGTCGCCGCGGGTCTTGCCCGCCGTTGCCTTGTGCAACTGGCGTACGCCATTGGTATTGCGGAGCCGCTGAACATTCACATTGAGACATACGGCACAGGCAAGTACGACGATGGACGCATCCTGGAAATTGTGAAGAGGAACTTTAAGCTGCGCCCCTACGACATTATCAAGCAGCTAGATCTCCGCCGACCGATCTACCACATGACCTCTCGTTTCGGTCACTTTGGTCGAGAAGACAAGAGCGGCCAGGGCGGGTTTACGTGGGAGATTCCAAAGAAGCTTGACGAGTCGTTCTAAAAAAAAATATAATAGGCAAAAACAGCGCGGGGAAAAAAAAAGCTAAGATGGTAACATCGTGCAATGTGTAAGAATGACACTTTTTTTTTCTATTTTTCCTTCTTTGTAATTTTGTTTGAGATGTGTGCGCTAGTAAATATTTTGTTTTCTATGCTTACCT